TGCTTTATTTAATAAAAGCATGTCAAACATACATAAATATCGATTATTGTGTATGGGAAAAAAGTTGTATAATAAAATATGATAATTTATGACACTATTAAGATAGTCTTAAGCGTATAGATTTCAAAACGTACATTAACAATGGTTACCTTACCTACAACATTTAATCAAAGTAGGTGTTTAAAAGGTGACAGACAGCATTATCAATGAATGGATTCACACTTTATAATGGATTTATACCCCGCCTTTAACACCTGTGGTGAATGTGTAAGTGTACATCTAAATGTATTTTTATACCCTACACCACTTTAGCTGATGTTTGTAACGCACAATAATATCGGTCTTATACCCACCTTAAAGTATACCACTCGGCTACGAATCATTTTCTGACTCGATTTAGCTACTTCCGTCTGTCTGTCTGCCTGTCTGTCCGTCTGTCCGTCCATGTAAACCTTGTAATCAAACTACAGGTCGCAATTTTGAAGATAATTCAATGAAATTTGGTACATGATCTTCTATTGTCCCAGGGACGAAGCCTATTGCAAATGGTTAAGATCGGTCATTATTTCACCCAGTCCCCATACAACTGAACCCGACGAATAGGGCTTTTAAGTTGATAATTATGTTTAATATACTCGTATCTCGACAAAAAGCTGCAAAACCAAGTTCTATACTAGCCTTGATGACTCTCATAAATTTTATAATTATAGGGTCTCATTTGACCATAGCCCCTATACAAAGGCCCCTTCAAAATTTGACTTAAATGTCCACAATTTTATTCAACAATAAATGGCTGAAGTATATCGGAGGCAAAGTACAATTCAACTTCAATGCTTTATTATGAAAACTAAATCACATTTTATTTTTGTAACAGGTGTAGGGTCGGCCTCGCCCGACTATAATTTCTTACTTGTTTTGACTATACTTATATAAAACTTCAGGAGGTACATATTTATATAGTTTTGGTTATTGGGAAAATCAAAGTTTATTAAGAAGTGTCTGTCTGTCAACTCTGTTGTTTGCTTAAGTCATTATGATGTCCACAATTTTTCATCGAATTAAAAAGAATTCACTCAGAATGTTTATTACTTATTAGCCAAGGAGTTGGGTATCAGTGAAATTGCATTAAAAAGTTTGAGTCAAAATGAATTTTCTGCTTTTCAGAATGCCTTATGAGCAAATCGCAATTACGACGAAAATGTGATATTTAATTTTGATTAAATTTTTGAGAAAATAAGTAAAGAAAGCATTTTATTCCAAATTGTTTGCTTAATTTCAATACAGTGCCTTTTAGCTTTACACTGCTGTATATTACTTACACTTCACTTAACATAGTCTTTAAGCCTTAAGCAAAATAATAGATACATCAATTCTTATTTATATGAATATCTACAATTTATGTATATATATTTTTTTTCTCATACTTAACATGAAATATTCAAATGGAATTTAAATACAACAAAAAAAAAAGGAGAGAAAAAAATGCAAAATCTATATAAAAAATATTATACAAATAGTAATAGAAAGGAAATAACTTGAAATTTGCACTCAATTTAGATTATTATCCTTATAGTCAAAAATATAAAAAAAATCTATAAAATATAAAACAGAATAAACATAAAATAATATGTTAGACATGGTTAAAACAGTCAGCAGTCACATATATTTCTTCATCAAATATGTACAGAAATATTTGCAGCAGTATTCAGCTAATGTTGCCCTGGAGAATTAAAAAACGCTGCTACTTGTTATCTTTGCTTTTTTGAAAGCTGAAGGGCATTTGTTTTTTGTTCGGTAGAAGCTTTAAATGATAATAAATTATTATCAAATGTGGAAAATATTTCAATATGTATGTAACAAAAAAAGAAGACACTGACATGTAATATGTATAAACTACCAGTACAACGTACTGAAATTTCATGAATAGTTTAGTGGGTTTTTTGTTTGTTTGTAGAGAAATTTTAAATTTCAATTTCTTTGTTTTTACCCTTAACATGATTAACATACAACTAACATAAGTCAAGTTGTTACAAAAATTTAAAAAAGAAAGTAGAAAAAAATACAACCAGAATTTGAAATTCTCATTGCATTTCCATTTTAAAAAATGCTTCATTGAACATAAATTTGCTTGTTTTTTTTTTTCATTTTCTTTTTCGTACCTAAGTTACAACATACAAATAATAGTTTAGATACTACCTAAGTTATGTCTGTTACTTCTCAATAGTTTTTTTTTTTCTTTCCTATTTCTCTAACATATTGATGTTTTTACTACACCTAATGCTTGTTAGTTTTTAAAACATTGCTTGATTTTAGTTCGTATCATCTCAGGTTTCCCAAAATTCTAAATATTCGCAAATATGTATGTATTGGATTACTTCATATATAACAGGTAACAATTCTTCTTTATACCCTACCACTACAACTAACAAAACATCAATACTTTTTTTAGCATTTTTAAGCTGCTACTCTATTTCCTGTTTACTGTTCATACATCTGCCTGTTGGTGTCTGTGTATGTGTACGTAATGCTGTTATGTATTAGTGCTGCTACTGCTATCTCAACCCGGGCCATTCCAATTTACTTATTGGCAAATTTGTTTGTTTGTTTTATGTATTATTTTCTTGTTACTATTGCCAGTGCATCTTGGGTTTTTGTAGGTTTATTCAATTGTATAGAGTAAAACTGTTCCAAACCATTTTCTAGATGTGTGTGAGTTCATCTGTTCATCTCCACTTTGCGTTCTTTACAAAAACTCCCCAGTTGCATATGAAGGCCAACAATTTGCACTTTATATCTGCCGAGTATATCTTAACGTTAACGATTTTTCCTTTAACCTGTTTTCTCTGGGGAACCAATTTGTGATGGCTCATATGTGTGTTGCTTGTTCGAAGGTTGAAATTAAAACAAAAATATATTACAAAGAAAACTGTATTACAACATAAGGCAATAATTTTAAAATCTCTTAAAAAAAGTAAAATTTTTAAGCCTTAACATATTTTTCGCGAGTATTCCAGAAGTTTGGAATATGTCTAATTTTATTTATAAAAAAAAATGTTGCTTACTTTTAGGCAAATATAAAAATTGCAAATATATTTGTGAAAATGTTTGAGTTTTACTCTTGACAAAACATTTTATTTCCAGAATATTGCAATAACTCGATTAAGGCCGTTAAAATTTTAAAAATATATTTTCACAAAATTTTATCATTCTGTATGTACAGCTTTTGCTTATGTAAAAGAGAAGCATACTTTTAGGAAAATATAAAAAATGCACATGTTTGAGTTGTATTCTTGTTTTCATAAACAGGATTTGGAGAATATTCCGGGAATTTTATTGAATATTTTAGTTAAAAAATAAAGGCATACTTTTAGGCAGATGCTCAATACAAATTTTTTAATTGTTGCAGTTTTTACTAGTTTTTTTTTGTATTTAAAATCCATTCAATTTAAACCTTCTTGCTTTTAATACATTTCATTAACCACATTTATACGTTTTTACAATAAGAGGGTCACATTTCGAAAAGTGTCTAAAAATTTTTATATAATTCTTAAAACATAACATGTACCCATAACTTTAAAATCTTTACACACAACTCCTTTTATTCCTGTCCTGTTCAAAATTTAATTATTTGCCCTAATTATTGTGCTACCCTCGTTTGCCAAACCATAAAATACAAATAAAAACTTTTGTTTTAATACAAAATCAATAATGCAACAATACAATCACTATACAACCAAACTTACTCTCTCACACACACACACAAATAACACAAAACTATAAGAAAAAGGATATAAATGTAAAGGATGAAAAACTCAGGTAAAACGGACTTTAAAATTCTTGTTGGATTTCATGATAATGAAACATCCGTTACAACATTCAATGTTACACCGGCAGTATATTGTTTGGGTTGCATGCTACGCCGGGTGTTAATGTTGCAAAACATTTTCTATAAGTTTGTTGTTCATGTGATGTTATAAAGTAAAGCTATAAAATACATTTTGCAAAATAAATTTAAAATAATAATGAACAACTTACAACTGGGCCAAACCCAACACCATTAACCCCACCACAAATTATTAGCTTTAATAAACTCTTAAACTAAAAATATGATACAACAAATACCTGGTCTGTACCAGCGACAACGGCCAAGTTTGTTGCATACAGCAGCAGCAGCAACAACGTCTATAAACAAAAGTTTTGGCCAACTCAATAAGCATCATAAATTTTCCAAATAAAACATAAAGAAAAAAAGTCCCGACAGTTATGTGTAAAAGTTTTGCGGCTGCTGCTGTTCCTTGTGGGTCTTATGACTGAAGGTCTGTTAATAATCTTTATTTTAAGTTTGGGGTTTTTTACTACGGATGTGGTAGTTTGTTAGTAGACGTAAAGATTTTAACAAAGTTTTTTTTTTTTATTTAACACGCGTTTTACGCCATAGCGAAAGAAAGGGACAGACAGATTTATGCATACTTTGTCATCAGCATGAAGGTAGTCATCATCATTTGTAGCCAAACTTTGCTCATGCAATATATATTTTTTCTTATTGTCTTACAATTTGTAGATGCCTTTTCTGTTAAGTTTTTTTATTATATATTGAAAACTTTTGTTGCGGTTTTTGCCACATATTAAGATATTTGCTTTATTTTTTGTGGTATATGGTTTCTTGCCTATTGTTTTATTTATTGGAAAATTTAAAACTTAAAACTACTAAATATTTAATATTTAAATACAAAAGAAATGCATATATAAAACAAATATTTGAAGGGTTGTTGTTGTTAATTGTAATAATCTGAGGATAACCTCTTTTCGCTTTAAAACTTATTCATTCATATTTATTTGAAAATTTACTGCTCTGTAAAGGAAAAATGTTTAAATATGATTATTTATATAAATTCGAATAGTCTATTTTTTTTTAATTTATCGTATGTTCTTAATTGTTTTTATTGATATTTTATAAAATTTTTATAATAATTTTCATTTTTTTATTTACTTTGATGCAGGTGTTTATGGCGATGTGCAACGTGTAAAGATTTTATATAATAAAAAGGATTCAGCTCTTATACAAATGGCCGAACCACAGCAAGCTTATTTGGGTAAGTTTTTTCAATAAAACAAAAGATAACAGAACTTTTGTAATTTTCTAATACCGATGTCGTAAATTATAAAAGTATTAAAATTTTAGTTTCAAAATTTTATCGCGAATAATACTTGAGTGCAAATAAAAGGGGTGGCATATTCTTAGGCGATTATAAAGAAACAATTGCATGTTGTTGATTATCTTTTTAATAATAAAGTATTTAATTTCAAATTAACTAAATTCAGAAATATTTTAACAATTTGTTGACAAAAAGGTATTTTCTAAATGAGAGTTTATATGGGGGCAGGAGGTTAATATGGTCCTATTCTTATAAATTTTGGTAGAGGGATTAACGCCTACATCAGTTATGTATGCAGAATATCATCATGATATTAGTGTTTATAAGTGAATTTTGACCATCAAGTCATTTTCTGAAAGGGACTTTGTATAGGGGATTGGGTAAAATAAGACCCGATCATTACGAAAATCAGCAGTTAATGATACTGCTGACTTATATAATACGAAGTTTTGCCGATTTTTTAACTGATACAAGAACATTTAACATATTTATGAGCTCAAAAGTATTATTCGGGAGGTACGGTTGTATGAGGGTTATACGAAATAATAGACCGATTTTAACCATTTTCAATAGGCTTCGTCCTTTGAAGAGTATGTGCCAAATTTCATAAAATTATCATGAAAATTGCGACCTTTAGAGTGAAAACAAGGTTTACATGGACACACAGACGGACAGACAGACAGACAGACAGACAGACAGACAGACAGACAGACAGACAGACAGACAGACAGGCAGGCAGGCAGACGGACAGACAGACGGATATAGCTAAATCAGAAAGCCAGCAAGTGACTTTGAGTCGACAACGGATATATCGTTCATCGTTAGTTTTTAAATTAATATAAAAATTTCAAATTTAAACTTTTATCAAGAATATTCCATGAGTCCAAGTAAAAAACTGAGCATACTTTTAGGATGCTATTAAAATAACAATTGTACTACAAAATATATGAAAATAAACATATTAACCAAAAAATTGAATGCATAACTAAAGTATAAAGTCATTAAAACTAGTCATATGACATGTGTGGTTTTCTGACAGTGGAGGCGATAAAATTACAACAGAACAAACAGAAATACATACATACGTGTAAGAAGATCGTATATTTTGAAAAATTTATTTTCATTTTGCCAGCCACAAATAACTCCTGCTGTTGTCATGTAATCAAAATTGCTCATATTTATTCCCGTTACCCTCAAAGGCTGAGTATAAATTTTAAATGATTTTCCCTTTCAAAAGCCTCTATTATTTATATAAAATATTGTTAATAATTGATTTTAATACAAAATCAATTTATTGGCAATATCATCTTGTTAGCTCATCAACAACAGCATAATGAAAACGATAATTATTATCAATATCATCTTAAATACAGCCCAAGGCTCCCTAAGGAGTTTATAAGGTCTATGATAACCAGCTGAGTTTCTGTTTGAACAGAAATAATATAAATATATAATTTCCAGTAAATATATATTTATAAAGACAAATTATGTATATGAATCTTAAATACATGCATACATATGTATATATGTATTAAAAATTTTCATTATACTGTTAAATTTCTTAAATATATTGACTGCTACTGCTGTTTAATGTATTTAAATGTGGTTTTATACTCTCCTGTCACATACATACATACATGGTATAAATCGGATCATGCACATTTCTTAAGCCAACCTGTTTTATTTTTGTTGTTGGCGTATTTTGAACTGTGCCTGATGCTTGCAATAACAGATGTTTGCTTTGGAATCTTTTAACAGCAAATATTCCTTTTTGCTCTCAATAGCCTTATACGCAAGCAGACTAACGTTATTGATGATGAATTTTTGAGGTTTAATATACAGATTTATTTATTATTAAGAAAAATACAACAACAACAAAGTAAAACGGCCATACACAGCAACATTTTATTTATTTCCTTTTACACACATACTCACAACAATAACTGCTGCATACACTCTTGCATTTGTTTAAATTGTTGATATTTTTCATATTTGTTGTAGCCTTATTTAAGAGGCAAAAGTGAACAACATTAATATACAATTAATATTATGCTGGCAACCACCAGCAACCATTCCATAATAATTTTTATTCTCTTTCTCGGGTATCACATTGTCGAGAAAACATTTAACAGGAATATTGTTAAAAAGTTATAAAGGTTGTGTGTTGAAAAAAATATGAAATATTCTCTACAAGTATATGAAAACAACAGATTTATGTGGTTGCCTGTTATAAATTAAATACACTACGTTAGTTGTTGTTGTTGGTACCTGTTTTTTTTCGTAAATATGTATTAATGAAAATCATGAAAATTAAGCAAATATGTATATAAATGCATACAAGACAGCTGTATTTTGCTTTTGTTCATTAAATATTATTTTAAGCATATTAAATATTTATTAAATACTCACTTGCTGACACACACTCATTTCTCTGGTCGTCTTTGGTCCAACAGTCATTATTAATTGCTTAAATCTACTGCACTTTTGCTGAGTGTAAATTAATTTAAAATAACAATTGTTTTTAATTTTTATATTTTTTTTAAAAAATTCACTGTTTAAAATTGACAATAATTTAAATGGTTTTCGTTTAAAATTTAAGACTCAATATAAAGATTCAGAAAGTAAGGAAAATTGCTAAATATTTGCATGATTTTGATGAGCCTTATCGCTTAATCGCTTAAATTCTAAACAATTAACTTTTTATAACTGCCCTAAAATATGCTACAAACGTATGCTTATTTAGAATATCACGATTAATAATGAATCAATTCTATTGCCGAAAAATATTAGAAATATGATTATTTATATTTTTAATTCATTTAATGTTATAAAAAATTCTACTATATTACCTAAAGTTATAAGATCTGTTATATAGTGAAAACTACCCAGCAAAAACTTACATTGATAAGTAAGTTAAGGGAATTAATAAAAAGTTTTTTAAAAAAATAATATTAAAGAGGAGCGAATATTACTGTATGTCTTTATTAAATCATATGTTAATAGTTGAACTGCCTTAATATTTGCAACAATGCAGAGGTTTTGTTGTTTAATTTGTTATAAATAAAAACGTAATGTAATTCATACCTATAAAACCATTGTTTTTAGTCAATGTTTATTTAAGTGTTTTGGTTTAATTTTGTAAGTACGTGTTGTCTTTGTGTATTTGTGTTCTCATTTACAAAAAAAAAACTAAAAACACACAACACTACAAGCCAACACATACATATAAACTATACTTACACTTGTAGGTATATCGTAGGAAACAAAAGCTCTCCACATGATAAAAATAACGGTGCAATAGTAAAATACAATACAGTTACCACATACTATCACATACACACACACACGTTTACCCACACAGTATGACATTATTCATTGTCCTCTCGCGCACTCTAAATGGGTTGTGTATGTGTGTAAAAGTTTATTTAACTGTAATTTTGATTGTATGTGTATGCAACCAACCAACCAACCTGTTATTTAGACAAAGGTTTTCAGAGTTTGTTTTAAGTTGAAAAAATGTTTTTCTCTTGCACCGGTTTGTGCTTATTTGCACAAAAAAACAAAAAAAAAAAAAAAAAACAACAATACAACACACACATACACTACTTGTATTGTTAAACTAGTATTTTGGGGAAAAATACAATTGTAAATACAGTTTTATTTACACAGACTCACACATGTAAACAATTTACACATTCATTAAAATTCTATTATTTACTACGTGATTTTTTTTTTTGTGTCTTTTATACCACTACAGTATTGTTTAAAAAGAAATATAATTGTATGAGTGTTAGAGTTGTCTGCCACAAAGTTGATAGTGTAAAATTAAACAATTCGAGGCTCATTTAACTAACGTATTTGAATCCATTCTTACCACTACTTTAACGAAAGTTACTCAAAAATATATAGTTTTCTTTTTTGTTGTTTTGTATGCATAAGTTTTTATTGTTACAAATGCACACAAAAACCATGACACATGTTTTTGGTATTAGTATGCAAATTAGCATTGTTTGTGTGTGTTTGTGTTATTAAAAGGTATTGTTTTATTTACCTTTTGTCTAATGCCTCTTTTTTGGTTTAATGGTGTCCACAGAAAAATTAGTAACGTATTAAGTGTAAAATGCAGTGTAAGGATTTAGTTTCTGTGAAAAAAACTACTAATTTAGAAACTTGTTTGTGTTGTTTTTATTTAAAGCATGACATGCTTTATTTATACCCTATACTACTATAGTGGGGAAAGTATTATGCGTTTGTAACACCCAAAAATATTGCCTACACCCGCTTTAAAGTATACCAATCGGCTCAAAATTACCATTTCTGAGTCGATTAAGCTATGTCCGTCTATCCGTCCGTCCGTCTTCTCCTTAGACTAGAAGACAGCTGTAATTTTATTCTAAACAGCTGCTATTGCTAATTGTGATAGTGTGTTAATAGGTTAGATTATATAATTTTACGCTTAAGCTGGATCCGCACCTGCTATAGGTTAACCTATAGTCTGATCTATTACCTATTGACTTTAGCTAATAGATCAGTTCATATCTAGGTCATTGGACTAGTTAATAGGTTAGTTTTTAGAATTTTACATAAATTAGTCAATAGACTGCCAAGTAGTTTAGTTGCTAGACTAGTCTATAGACTATACAGTACACTAGTACATAGTTTAGTTAATAGAATAACCTAGTCCACAGACTAATACATAGACTAGTCCATAGGCTAGTCAACAGACTACTCTGTTTATAAAATAGAGTAGTCCAGAGACTACTAACTAAACTAGTCCATTCACTTGGGAATAAATTAGACAAAAGACCAACCTATACACAAGTCCATTAATCCAAAGAGTTGTCAATATAATGCATTTCGATTACGTTTCCGAATTCAGTTACCCTACGGTCGAAAATTGGTATTCCAACAACAATGAAGCAATTCCATATTATTTC